GACATCATTTTTCAACACATGATTCGAGTTCGGTTCGGTTCGGTTCGACTGCGTTTTTAAAAAAGCGGTTCGATTTCGGTTCGTTTTTGGGCTCTGTTTCATACTAATGCAAACCTCATGAAGAAAAACGACGAAAGAGGAACAATCGAGAAGGTTGCAACTCGTCACGTGACGAGTTGAATTTTTCAGAAAAAACAGGGCTTTCGTAACGCTAAAAATAGGGATATACGAGGAAACAGGGATATCGTAACAAAATTTACAGGGGTTCGTAACAGTTGCAGAGTTTTCGCAACGAGCCAACAGGGATTTCGTAACAAAAATTAGGGGTATCGTAACGCAGTCACGTGTCAAACCACCGGTTACGATCACCCTGTAAAATTCGGTACGATAGCTCTGATTTTTTGTTACGAAACCTCTGTTACGGGTTTTCGTACTGTCAATTCGTTACGAAAGCCAGACAAGAAAAATCGTGACGAGTTGCAACTTTCCTGAAAAATCCTCAACATTTTTATTTTGTTTTGTACTTGGACATTTTCTGTCTGTTCATTCTTTTATTTTTCCACATAAAGTCAAGCTTCATCATGGTATGGGTGTAGTTGTGTGAGCATCTCTTCAGCGCTACCAATGCGCACACCCAAACCTATACATTCACACTTACACCTTCGCTCATATGTTTCAAATAATGCGTGCGCACCAGGAATAAACATGATGAACCAATAGACTTGATCGATCACTTTATGATTACTAAAGTCATATTCTTCTTTTTTGCTATAGTTATGGAAAATTGAACAGGCATGTCCTGAATACCGACTGGTCTACAAATACAAAAGATGCGCCATGACAAGCTCTACAAAATATCGTATAAAGAAATTTCTATTGACTCGATCTAAGAATTTTGACATTCTCAAAATAAACAAGCCATATGCCAGTAGAATGTCCCATTGTGTTGGGCATGAAAAAATTGTTTGGACAGATTGTTTGCTTTGCCATAAGCAGTTGATAATGCAGGATTTGTTATGGATGTAGTCCCTCTTTTCACCCACACTCTAATCAGACTAAAATCGATATTTTCTATACAACTTTAAATCGATTACAAATCGATTGAAGGTGTGTGATTTTAATCGGTTTTTAATCCTTTTTTTAATCAATTTTAATACGATTATTCGTCTAAATTTTTTTAGATGGGATGCTTTGTTTAAAAACTTGATCATTGCTAAAAATTATATCACATCAATTATCTAATCTCTGTATTTTTATTCTCTTACTCTAGTTCCTATTAGTTTTGCATATCTACCATTACCTATATTCCTTCATTAACGCATGATGAAAAACATAGCTCTGTTTTGTAATTATTCAGTACTAAATATGTGCAATACTTTGCCAAAGTTTTCAAGAGTTTGTCATTTTCATTGAATGTGATAATGATAAATTTTAAAAGCGTTTTAGAACTTTTTCGACATCTTCTCATAGCTTTACATGTTAGACTTCTACAACTACCACTTTTCATGAGCGACGCAAGCTCAAATTTTTACGGGAAGCAATAAGCTTTAGAATGAAATTATATCCCGCTCTGAGCCATAGATCAAAGCTCAATAGTAAATTTTTTTCGAAATTACTTACTCAAAGGCATAGGAATGGACCTCTACATATCAGTTTGTTTGACAGTACATTAAAGTTTTCCCCTCCGAAAAATGAGTGAACAAAACTCACATTTTTTTCTTATTACCTTCCTCTTGCCAGTCATTTGATTTTTCAGTTGATACTCATGTGAAAGATTGGCTGCCATTTTAACAGCTATTCTTTTTTTATGAAATGATAAACGTAAGAATTAATTGAAAATATTACAGTATGCTCATTGAAGCTGTTTAACTATTTATGTTAGCAGATAATTCATCTTATTAAGAGTATCTTTTTATACAGTGATTATGGACGGAAGCAGAAAGAAGTACAAGTTTAAGTTATCTGGCAATCAAAGGTTCAAAAAATACGGAGAAATAACATATGATAAAACATCAGCAATTAGGGAAAGCAATAACTTTCTATTACTTCCCCTAATTTTTTTTATGGGAAGCAATTGCTAACTCATTGCTTGCTGGTGCGCCGCCCATGTGTGTACTGAATTAGACAGTTTTACTCTAGTCTACAAAGAACGCACAAAAAATTTGGGGTCGCAATAAATTTCTATTGCGTCTCCAAATATTTTTTAGGGGACGCAATTGCAGCCCCTTGTAGTGCTGGCGCGCCGCCCATGCTATTTTTAGATATAAGCTTCCGATTATCATTTTCTTGAAAATTCCCTAGACTGAAATGATAGGATCCATATTAATTCTTGATATACAACGATACTTGTAAGATATAAGCTTTCGATTATCAGTTCTTTAAAATAAAGGAATGTCTTTTGAAAAATGGCAAAATTAGATGATTTTTTACTAATTGTTGTTCATGGAATTTTCGGTTTAAATGAAACTTTGACTTAGGATTTTTTATTCAACGGATTACGAGAATAGTGTAGAACTAATAGGCATTAAAACAGAGTATATATTGTATTTGTTCATATAAAGATAAGTGGTCTTTCAATTACTACCAACCCGACAAATGATAAAATGCTTCTTCTTCGTCGTCAGCAAAATGAGTAAAATCTGTTCCTAACTTCCAGTAAAGCAAAGCATGCACAATATAATTACATTGGTTGTGATTTCGAATTTATATCTGATCTATACTGAGACAATGCATGCGCGTCTTCTGACTCCATACATTTAGAAAAGTGTAAGTATAATAGATATTACTTGCAATATACTGCACATCACACAAATTATGCTGTAATAGACGTCTATGAATAATGTTGTATTATTGAGTAGCTTTAAGAATAAATATCACAAAAGTCCTTTTTTTTCTGGGCACATAGGATAGAAAGCGCCACTTAATGTAAAAATGTTTTGATTTTATCTCGAGTCGTGCATTCATGGTGAATATTTCAATATGTAGATTTTAATCAGAGAATAATTTTCCATAAGGTACTCTAGGTTCGCTCGCTGGCATCGAACTTTGACATAAACGTGGTATTTTTCGAAAGGATATGCTGTTATTCAAATATAGTTATTCTCAAATTAGAATTTCATGTTGCTTTGTTGAATTTTAAAAGCTCTTATATGTTTATTATAAACCAGTTTATTGTTGAGACATGTTATTTCATGTGTCATCTTCATTGTTCTACCATGTAAAAAGGCATGATCTATATGTGTAAGTGATAATAAGAACTTTTTATTTATGTAACAGATGTAACAAGATAAAAAAGAATATCAGTAGAAGTAATTAAAACAAACAAGTAAAAAAGAATAACGTCAATATTAAGATTTTTGTCTGATAATTATATTTTTTGTTTCATTTACTGTCCGTATTTAATTCATAGATGGTTTCATTTTACATAAAATACCACTCGACAGATATTTGACCAATTCCAAGTTCTCCGGCAACTGCAATAAAAGCTTCTCGAGTTAAGGCAATATCATCTAAAAGACAAATAGATGAATAAATATTTATGATAAACAAAGAAATACGGCAACTTTATACAAAAAAACACTTACGTGCTTTACAATCAGGGCATCGATCAATAAATCGAACAACAATTTCACCTTTTGGACCTTTGACTAAAGCTCTCTTTTGACAGATTGAGTTGGAGCTTGGAATACCATGGATAGTGTATGGATCAAATTGTGCTTGATTAAGAGCAGCACTATAAACTTTTTGATTATTTTCATCCAATGGTACTCCTCGTTTAACACCACATGTTGAGTACTGTATACCGACCTTAGTTTCATTGTAATATATTGCCTGTCCTTTAAATTCACCTTCAAGTGATACTGGTTGACTTTGACTGCTTGATTTTTTATATGCACAATGAATACCGATTCTATCACAACTGGAATCATTAAAATAATATCTTTTATCAAATTTAAAAATTATCAATGAATCAACATACTATCCATATCGTGTACAACAAAGACCAACACCACATGATGTACTAGCACAATTGCTATACGAAACAGAAGCACAATAAGCGGCTCCAGTTCCACAACTATACGGATAGATATAATCAAATTTAAAATGAATAGTTTGTTTTTTTCCATAACACAAAGTGGAAATCGAGTAACTTACGATCCTTGTTGTGAACAGCATGAACCAACCGGACAACCAGTTACATAACATTGGTTTTGAATCGGAGCAGGTGCAACAACAACAGCAGCAGCACCACCACCACCACAATATTCACTTGTCTGTCCACATCTAGTTCATTTGTAATATAACATATTAAATATTATATTCGGAAATATAATATACATACTGTCCATAAGGTGAACAGCACCAACCAACTTGACAGCCTACAACGCGACAATCGCCGGTACCATATTGTGAACCTGACCATCCTGAGTGTAAAGCACCACCTCCACCACAGTATTGAGCTCCTGTACCACAAACACCAAACGCTGAACAACACTGACCAATACCACAATATCCAGTAACCAAACAGTTGCCGGCTAAAACAAATCATATGATTATTTATCAATACGAACATTTTTGTTTTGTTCTTTTGAACTTACCAACACTGTTTACAAGTGAAACTACTAAGAGACTTACATAACCAATCGCTAGCATTGTTATATTTGTATGAATGTATATCGATTTTGCAATGATGATGATACTCAGTTATTTAAAACTGCAATCGTTATTACTCTTTTTCGCACCCTTATATACCTATGTAATCTATCATTCAATGTTCGTAGAATTACTAAATAGACATATAAGAACATTGTCCTTGATGTCTACTTATCGACTGATATTTTAGATATATCTATAACCTTGTCATTGATCTTCTCGAAGGCCGTCTACTTCATTGTATTCTAATTTCAATTCAACTTTTTTTATTTATCAAGTCAGACTGAGCTTCTAATTTGAGAATAAGTGTATTTGTATAAACATGTTTTGATCTTTCATAACTACGCAGACAGAAGCGAAATGTCTAGTATGCCGTTTAAACGGTGATATTGACCTTATTCACTATACAAAGCTGCTAAACGGCAAAAAGAGTAATGATCATCTCCTTTCGTTTTCTTTGTAACGCTTCATTCATGTATCAAAGCATTTATTATATTGCATTATCGTGTAAAAGTTTTACGACATCAGTATATATATGGTGAAGAGTCTTGATAAATATCTAAAATCCTTGTTTCTTCAGCAAGGATGTGGATATATGTTCGAAAAGAAAAGTAACATCCACACCCCACTTTGTTCATTGTTCTAAAATTCGAATCCTAAACATCAAAATAAATGATAAATATCGAGTGTTAAGCGTGCAAAAATATTTAAAAATGCTTCTAGAGAAGTTTCGTTCTTATTCGTTTCTTCTCTCATATGAACTTAGAAAAAAAAATATCATGTAAACATAATGAGATAGATTCAGCGATGTCAAAGAAGCTATTTGAATATTTTTATAAGAGACATCCATATTGAGTATGGATGTGAGTCTTGTCTTCAGTCACATCGAAATCATACACCCGCACCCACACACTCACGCCAGTTTTTTATGAACCCATTAAAAAAGACATTGTATAATGATGCTTACTTTGACTTCTATGAAATCGGTAAAAACATCTTGTGAAACGATAGTTTATCATAATTAACTATCATCTACAAGATTTTTTTTGACTAGTTCATATAAAAATTGTAAATATATTGCATGAGTGTGCCTTCTTTTTCTCATCTCGATTCACGTATCAATATTTGATAAATATGAATCATGTACTGTTCGAAAAAGGAGAAAATTTCCTATCAATTGATCAAAAAAGAAATCTTTTTTTCAAAACCTACCTATTGAAGAAATATAGGGACCAACACTTTATGCAATCCTTTTATAGAAAAGTGCTGATTATTTTTAAGGATGCTTCCTTTTCTGTTGCGCCATTTCGTTAAAGAACGTGTTATAAAAATAAGTTATATATGTTAGGAAAGAGGAGAAAAACCTTTATCTTTTGTTGACAAGAAGAATTTTGTTCAGCACCTTTTTATCGAAGAGTAACAGTGGTCGACATTTGTGCTGTTACTTTTGCACCGTACGCTATTTATTTATCATTTTATAGTTTTTATCATCTCTTGTGAAAACGCCTACTAATATTTATGTCCCTAAAATCAGAAACACTTCTCTTTTTACAGTTAGTGTTTCAGTAACATACAAGACTCACGGCATACATATCCTCAATAAAGTTTTCATTAAGTAATGTAGCATATATCCAAAATTTCTTTCATATTATGGTAAAAACCACGTCTCAATATCTACGTAAATTTACTTTCGCAAGTTCGTTAAAAAACAAGAAACTTGGAAAAAGCATAGAGAGTTTTGTATGTTAGTACTTGAAGAATTGACACTGTTTATCTATGTTTACTCGAATAAAATAAAATATAATATGTGTAGGTATGAATGACCATCTTCTCCATCATTTTATGTCTTCTTTATTTTTGACCCTATATCACAAAAAAGCTACTTCGTTCTATTTAGCTCGCATATCTTAAATGAATCATCATAAAGATGAGTACAAAATAATAAAAATAAAAGATGATACAAGACATTTATTAAATAGTCAGTATTTATGATTGAGAACATAAGGAAGACGAACTTCTAGGCATGCTTTATAAATTTATGCATTTTTCTCTTGCCTTATTCGAATATTTTTCTACAAAAAATAATTTTTCTTTATATTTTGTTTATATTTTCATTGACTATACAACCAAAAATACAAGAGTAAAAGACCAAAAAGTCTTATCAATATTTATCAAAGAAACTGAATTTCGCTTGACAATTGTTGGATTTTTCATTGCCGAAATTTATAATTTTATTTTAATACTGCTGCAAGTATTCAAAATCATTGATTAGAACTACTTGAATTGTTTTATCAATTACTTCATTTTATGAGTATTGTTATATTTTGATATTGCAATATGTGAACATGTCATGTCAATTACATATTCAGTATAACTGTATTATCCAATGATTATGTATCATTTGTTATGTTTGTTTATTTGATTATTGAAAAAATGCTTCATTTTGTAAAAATTCTGACTATATAAAGAAGAATATTACTCTTTCTTTTAGCGTGATTTATTTTAACTCTTTATAAGACTATACCCATATGTTTTCAAATGTCAACAAAAACAATAATTATTGTAAATACTTCTAAAATATTAGAAAATTTTTCTAATGTTTATTCAAAAATGTATATAAAAGAATGAGATTGAAATAATAACAGTATATTCTTAAGTCAAATTATTCTCTGTCTTGCGTTATGATAAAAAGAAAATTTAAATGAATTTTAGTAGATATTTAAGTTTGAAAATATGATGAGCGTGTGAGCGTGGGTATGGATGAATGTGTGGGTGCTGGTGAGGATGGTTGTGGGTGTGCGTGTGCCTGTGGTTATTGATCTTTTCATTCACACTCACACCCACACCTTTCATTGCGTGATTTTGATTAAAATGCTACTTTCAATCAATGAATTGAAAAAAGCATTAAAGAATATGTCTGTTTTATCATCAGAAAGGCCATTTTTTTTCATTTTTTTTGAAATAAAATCCACGAAAGTCATGAATTTTTTTTTGATTTGTTAAGTCATTGGGTTCAAACGGCAAAGTTCCAACAACTGTAAGCGTTTAAACAATACAGATGTTTTCACAATTGAATTGTCGTACACTGTAAAAAGAAAAAGGTAATTTACCGAACCCTCCAAAAAGGTTTCATAGGTGTCTAAAAGCTTCCAAATGCGCCCAAATGCTTAAAAAATGGTTGTTAAAATCTACGAAATCTTAAAAGGATCCATCTGCGGGTACAGCGTCCGAACCATCTCCTACGAAACCTATTTAAGTTCCGTACAGCGAAAAAGGGTTTCGTAAGAAAATGCGAAACCTTCATAGTTTCGTATAAAACTATAGTGCGAAAGCATAGGGTTTACTAGGAAACTATGAAGGTTTCGTATTTTCTTACGAAACCTTTTTTCGCTGTACGGAACTTAAAATAGGTTTCTTAGGAGATGGTTCGGACGGTGTACCCGCGGACAGATCCTTTTAAGGTTTCGCAGATTTTAACAACCATTTTTTAAGCATTTGGGCGCATTTGGAAGCTTTTAGACACCTATGAAACCTTTTTGGAGGGTTCGGTAAATTACCTTTTTTTTTTCACAGTGTAGACTATGATTAACGGATTCTTAGCAACTAATCAAACATTTTCATACTTTATATATTGAAATGTTTAAAGACAGCTTGGACCGTTTCCTTTTCTGTCTGGGAGCTCAAAAAAATTTATGAAGACTTAACATTAATAGAAACAGAAGAATCCTAAGTGATAATAGGGAGTAAAAAAGACGTCTTTCTGATGAAGTGTTTCTTAGGAACATTGGAGCATGGTGGGCTTGATGGTAGCAGATAGAACTCCACAAGAACTATCGGTTATATACTATTACATGATAACTAATTATGAAGTTAAAGGTTTTCAATATTGTGACTTAAATAAGGCACACAAACAATGCTCGGATACGATACACTAATGTTGCAGAGTGAAAGACTGCCGTATACAGCATCGTTTTGTACCATAATGACCCATAATACGGCAGGGCAAAATAAATGCGTCATTTCCACACTGCAAATCATCATAAGTTAGTAGCGAACGACCATTTGCATACCGCACTATTCGACTTGGATTCTATAGAAAGGGTAGCAACTAAAAAAGGTGTTGCGAATGGCTGCAGAAACCTAAAAAGTTCTTCAATCAGGTAAAACTCTGTCAGACTTCTGTTTTCAGATTGTAAGTGACAACTCTTTTTTTAATCGCATCTTCTCGCTCTTCGGATCTTCTCCTCTTGCGAAACAAGTCGTTAAATTTCTCCTCTTACATAAAAATTCCTTCTTATATAATCTCAACTAATTGAGGACGTTGATTTTGGAGCGGTAGAAACAGAGATGAAAGACAAGAAAGACGAAAAGCGAAAGAAAAAAGCATTTATAAACTACAACACGTGCTATTCAATAGCAAAAATAACATAAAAGCAACATAAACAACTAGTACAGGAAAAAAGAAGAAAAAAAATACAAGTAAAGATATGCCATATACATATAATATTGATTTATCTAAATAATGAGGTTTATGGTGTGTCCTCATAATTTTCGGTCATGAAGGAGCTTCGTCCATGTGACAGAAAAAGAAAACTCACATATATACTATTCTATGACGAAAAAATACATATATGAATAGAAAAAGTGAAAGGACAGAAGAGACATGAAAACACACATATTTGATTATAAGTAGGATATGTCATACATGGTAGTGATGAAAGTATGAAGGACACGAGCATGCATATATATGAGGATTGTGCATAGTATAATACCAATTATTCAAAAGCGTATATAGGTGAGTATACCGATGATTATAAAGAAATATCCTTATACATATATAGGCAACATTCGTTTTCTATTAGGCAGAAAACTACGATATAATTTTCGTTTTCATTAAGAAATCATAACATATACTTGTTATTTTTTCTTAATAGACACAGTACTGGTTTTTACTTATTCATACCAGTTGTTTTCGGAAAATGATTTTTGAAGGTATTTTT